GCATAATACCTGGGGAATGCAATTTTTGGAATGTCCTTTGAATTATAATCCTGAAAGCTCTTGCAGTGGCAGGAAATACTCCTGCAGGTGCTCTGTTTCGTGTTGGCACAATTCTTCTGTGAATGTGCCAAGCGTAACCTTGATTTGATTCCTTTGCTGGTAATTAAAGGAGAAGTTGAGTTATAAATACTAATTCTTTCATATATGAGATGGTATACAGAATCTGGGACAATTACATGTACACCTTCCTTAGAAACAGCGAAATGATAGAACTAGAATTAACAAAAAAAAGGAAATGTAACCTTTCTTTTTCCTTTTCTTTAAATTTTAAATTATTTTTGGTTAAACTAAAGTTACTTTGAACAACAAAAAAATACCTACCAGTACTGTAAATCTTGTCTAAAATATTGTACTCCATCCACTTCACACAAAAGGAATTACAAAAAATGAAAAAACATTTTCAACACCATTTTTTTTTTATCAGGTAGTGCTGACAAAAAAGAGTATGCTGCATGAAATCATCGATTGAAATGTTATTTGTCATGCCAAAAGGCCTACATTTAGTTTTGACTTCATAAGATATATTTGTTTGATAACTACATTGTATGTTTTGTTTGTGTTCCTCTTTTGTATTTTCAAGTTTCTAAGATTTCAATGCATTCATACTCTTTTCACACTGGTTTTTCTTAACCCGTACTTTGCTTAGCCCCGTACTATTCTTAACCCTGGATTAACTTTTTTGGCTTTTCACACACGCTGTTTTTAGTCCCGTACTAGCACCTATTCCGGAATAAGAAAATTAACGCTGTTCTCACTGCAATTCGTTAGCCCCGGACAAGTGAATATTATGATTGGACAGTGGGCTCCTTACTTCGCATCTGGCCAGCTGAGATAAGCACCATTGCGTAGTACCGGACTATTTTTCGTTTCTGTTCTCATTCATTTGCTTGGCACAGCAATTGCAGTGTTAGCAGAAGTTAGCACCACAATTGCGGGGTTAGCCCTGCTATTTTGCAGGGCCAGCTAACTCTGTACTATACAGTGTACAGTGTAGGTGGGGCTAGCCCACTTTGGTAAATAGGAGTCTGAACAGAAAGTGGAATAAGCTTAACCCCGGACTATAGGTGAGGCTAAGACCCCCCCCCCCTAACCCCACCTATAGTACAGGGTTAAGCAAAATTTTGCCAGTTTGAAAACAGTATATAAAGTCACCACCTTTCATTGCACCTTTGCTGCAATAATCTTCCACAATTAGTTGATAGACCTTGTGCATCCTGGCAGGCAGGCTGGGGAAAGCTATTCGCAGTCAGTACTGGTGCTCGGCAGGTGTGATCAGGTGTTTGGCAGCTCTAATTGATATGTCCTGTTAAGACCTTTAATCAACAGGATTAGAGCAGGATTCTAAATATTACCTGTCTAACAGTCGCGTTCGCACAACACCAAAAGCATGTTTTATCAGAATTGTAGTATGAACAAATGCAATGGTTTGGATTGTTTTTGTTTAATAGCTTGCAGCTCCGTGTTTGTGGTGTGGGAAGTCCCCGGCTCAACTCGCGGACAGGCCCTCAATTTGTTACGTTGGAGTGATTAATAGTATACTTTAAAAAATTTGTTCCTCCCAGGGGAAAAAAATACTTTAAAATTTCTTTTGGGCTACTTTTCAAGCTTGCTTGCATGAAAATAATACTCTTTAATTTGTTTTGCATTGAAATCTATGCAAATTTTTGGGGGCTCTTTTATGACTTTCGGGGCTCTTTTTGGCATTTCGGGGGCTAATTTGCCCTGAGCCCCCAAGTATTTTTTTTACTGGTTCCCCCACTACACCTCACACATCAAATTAAGAAAACAGTAATCTGCAAAACAAGATGATTAATGAGGTACATTGTACCTCAAACAGATGATGACTTTAATTTGCCTCATTTACAATCTCCAACGAATATGAATATTCAAAGAAAATCTACAGTCGGTACATCATGAACATTGTAAGTAGCCAGCCATAATCTAGGCCACAATTGACCGCGAGTGAATTGATTTTTGCTGAAGAATAATATTTAAAAAAATGTATTTAACCTGACCGAGTCAAAACGATCACAAAGAAAAGTGCAACGTGTACAAGTACAGTAGGCCCAGAGCTGAGAAGTGCTGTAAGGTGAAAAGGAGCTTTTGTAAAGAAGCTTTGAATAAGAAAAGAAAAAAAAAAGTGCCTTAGGGTAAATCCAAAACAACCTTGTAGACAGACGATGACCTTGGTGGATGGATGTATTCAGTTTTCATGTTTGAGTACCAGTGAGTCACGACTGAATAACCAAGCATGGCATAGTCAATACATCACAAGTATGACAAGTGCTTTCTGTGGCTGTTCGTCAAGTTCTGTTGCATTACTACAACAGGGACCAGACATGCTCAATACCAGATACATGTACATTCTTACATGTACATTGTACACGTTACATGTTTACAGGTGTGCCTTTTTTCTGTGTGTTCTTCATATATTGGAATAATAATCATTTGACTTTAGTCTACTTTCCTTGGGATACATGGTACTGAACATTATTACTACCGCAGAACTTTGAGAAAAACCACGCTGTCATGCTAAATTTGTTCAAACACTCAAGGAAATTTTCTTCCTGCAAATGTACAAGGTAAATATTCTCTATTTATTAGATCCGAGCCAGGAATGTCAATTGCAAAAGGACCCTCATTTTTGTGGTAAGGATCATTAATTTGATCATATTTTTCAGGTAGGATACTTATCTACTAGACCATGGCACCTTGTATTTCATGGGTGTTGCAAGCCTTACCTCAGACTTGCGTGAAAGTCTGGTGTTGCAGACTTAATGTCAAAGGAAACATCAAAATGTTTTGAAGAAGCAATGGAAACTAAAATTTATGTTGATTTGAAAAAACATATTTTATTTAGCATGTCACTGCTTTTTTCAGGACCTGAATGTTAACAGGTCAAATGCAGAAGTTGGCATTAACGATTCAACGTTCAGTCATAAATCTGCTGTTAGAAATCCCAGTTAAAGTGATCTTTGACATGTTAGGGTTTGAATGCAGAGAGCAAACGGTCTTTTACTATAAAGTCCTGACTTGAATGGCATTGCTGTACCATACATGGCATTTGTTGTGGCTTTTGTTGTGGCGTCATGTACACATCATTACTAATTATGACCACATGATGACCTTGGCCAAAGCCACACAAAGTATGTTCTAGATTTGAAACTTAATTAATCGTCAGAAACTTCATAATTCATCATTAACCACAGCTGCTGAGTAATATCGCCTGAAATACAGGTGGATATGTGTTTACCGGTACATGCAGTTGGGCCCTGAAAGTTTACATACACCTGAAAGAAAAATATTTTACTCTCATTTTCACAACTGCACTCATTCCTATCAGAATAAAGTGTTCCAGAATGATTATAAAACAGAAACCAATCTCGACTGTCTTCCTGAAGTGAAAAGTTGGCATGAATGAGTGAGGTTGTGATAATGTACAGTATGTAATTTTTGGGGCCCAATATACACATGTACTGTATACTGTATACCCGGTACTGTAGCTACAGTAACAGTGGTAAAAACTCAGTTTCAGTTCATGTGTTTTCACCTCATCATCATCTGTATGTCCTGTAGACCTGTACATGTACATACTGTACAGTATAACCATTCAACGTTGATTGTTCATAAACACGGTAAGAGCGTTAGTGAAAAGTTAAAGAAATTGCCACTTTTTATCTATTAAACAACAATGATTTTTAACCTCTCAATGTACATGTATTGCCAATCTAAGGATTTTAAAACCTCTTTTCCTTGCAATAATTCCTAGCATCCACTGCAATATAGCCCTGAAATACAAATGGATGCAATGTGTGCTAAAATGTTTACTCTTCTATTCATGGATCTGGTATATTTTGGGGGTTTCTGAATCAAAAGGTATTGAGCCCAGCCACAAAATGTAGAATAATTGTCACGAAAGGTGTAATAATCTGTCTGATATGGATTGTGTTGAACCATCTGTACATGTTTATGATCCATATGCTGGAGACCCTGGTATAAACGTACAAGTACCGGTACTTGACTTCCAGGATAAGTGTGCACAGTATTTACTCATGACAATTGTACAAATAAAAATACATGTACATGGACACATACAATGTCCTTGTTCATTTCTAATGTTCACAATGAATTGTCAAAGGCATTCAATGTACATGTAGGTCTTCTCCTCTATGAAATGCATATTGTACTTTGAGCTAACGGGATCCTGTAATGCAATGAAACGCCTTTAAGTCAATAGAAACCTGCAAATAGCTGCATCGTGACTCTACCGAGAATGCGTGTGTGCAAAGCGACAATGGGGAGGAGGAGGTCCATCAGCCTTGATAAGAAATTGCACTAAAAACAATGACGTCATCTACTGAAATCGGCTCTCTGCATCATAATTGCATGTGATGTTAGTTGATTACTATTATCTCTCTGCTCTTAGAGACTCCTCGTACATTCGTACGTGAGGCAGATATTTCAGTCACACTTTTAGAATACAAGCGAGTAGCTGTGCAGACATATTACATGTTCTGTATCTTGTCTTAAGTTGCTAATCAAAAGGTGAAAATCTCAACTGATTACACATTTTGCTGTCATTCATTATTTAACCTTGATTTGGGTAACATCGGAAATCATCAGCAATAAAGAGAAGCAAGTGATGGTACATGTACATGATGTTTGTTTGTGTGTGTTTGCTTTTGAACTGTTACAATGGGAAGAATAAATAGCAATAACATTCAATGGAAATGTAAACATCACTACATGCACATTGTATATGTACAGACGTTTTTAGATTGTATTTGGGTTACCTGTTGTTGAAGAGCTTATTGCAAGGCGATTTGCTAAAATATTTAAACAAAAAATACACATGAATGTACTCATTTGTCTTATTGTGAAGTTATCAAGTATTACTTAATATTATTATTTCCACAATTCTTTTTCTTCCATATCTCCAGAAACAGCAACAACGTTTGGTGAACGAGTGACGCCATCTTTGAATTAACGTTTTCGGACACCACCATACCTCAATAGAACGACCTGACCAGTGGATCCGTAGTTCCAGCTATGCAGGTGCATCAACAGGAGGCTTGAGGAACACTTTCCCAACGCTTCAAGAAAACCTTAGGTGCTTCAGACCTACAAACAAACAAAAACAGTCTCACAAAAATGGCTGCATTTCGGACTAGAAGCTGCGTTTTAGCAGTCAAGCTATGCCTATGGCTTACGATCCTTTCCTACACCACAGACTGTGTAGGGGCCCAGTTACCCAAAGTGAACCCAGATGACTCCAGTACTATCATTTGGGGGGAGCTGCCCCCGGTCCCGATGGCTACCAACATGACCTCCCCGGGATCCAGACCCAGTACCCTGGCTGCCATGGCCGAGGGGTTTGTGGACCTCGTCCAGCCAAAAGGCTTGCCACTTGGTGAGTATTAATTACTCGGCATTGATGATTGTAAAGGATATATTAGTGCCATTTCCTGGGCCCCGTCTTACAAAGAGTTGCGATTGATCCAAATCAATCGTAAGTCTTATAATCAATCGCAAGTTTGCAGTCTCCTATCTCTTATGTACATACAGGGTGTAGTTGCGATTGATCGATTGCAAATAAGTTGTGATTAATATCAACTCTTTGTAAGACAGGGCTCAGATGTAGAAAAAAAAAGGGGAAGGGGGGGGGGGGGGATGTCTCTCCAGCTCTAGGAGGATGAAAATCGTATCGAAGCAGCCCATGTACCTTGCGATGTACTGATTGCCCCATACAGTACATGTATCTTAGCTGCCAACTATTCCTATTTTGGAGAAACGACTTCTACTTTTTGGCCCTCAAGCTAATGTTATGACACCTAGAATCCTCACTTTTTCTGAAAAATTCTGTGAAAAAAGTATGCAAAATGACTGCACACTCCTAATTTTGCCTTGTGGGATTACTAATCTTTGTTTTGTAAGGTTGGCAGGTATGATGTAGGTCACGGTAAACCACAGCAGTTTAAAGCTGCATTTCTTTCATTTGTTCTACAGGTACATTGATGAATCACAAGTAGGGATAAAAAAAAAAGTACTTGTGCACCAGGCCCTAATATGCACATCAAAAGTCCTACATTTATGCATACTCACTTTCATGACTTGTACAACTGTATTTGTGTTTTATAAGATACAAAAATGAAACGCAGTTTGCTAATAAAACTCCACATAAAATATGCGAGCAAGCCTTGTGATCTTTCTAATGGCCTGATGATGAATCTCTTCAAGTTCATTCTTATTGAAGGGTCGCAGATTTGCAGTAGACTGAGGTTAAGTACCGTGAGGATAATTTATTTTCAGATTTCAAGTGGTAGGTGCCTGCTTGGCATACCAGAACAGCAGGGGGTACACATTATTTTAAAGCAGGAACCTTCTTAAATATCAGCAGTACACTACACAATGTACATTGTAGCCTGCACGTAGTCGTACAGTAGGTGCTGTTCAGGCTTACAGTGTACAACACTGCATCATGTATGATGTACAGTAGTATGTAATTGTATTTCATAGTGCATCAAAACCAGATGAAAGTGGTATGCGTGCTGTAGAAATAACAATAGCGAGAATGTACGATTGAATACTCAAGTTTTGTTCTGCTAGCGTGTACATGTACAGTACATGTATGCACAAGTAGGAGATATTTATATCAATAGTGCTTTCCAGTGGGCAGGTGCGGAGGGGGGGGGGGGGATCAAGACTTTGTATTTTGAATTTACAAGCAGTTTCCACCTCCATGTAAACTGTGATTAGTCAATTTGTCACACCTTGGAAATTCACAAAAAATACCCCCACTCTGTCATGATAACTTTTATAATCTGTTTCCCCTCTTTAGTCTTCACTAATTGTAAATACAATGTAGGTAACACAATGTAAATATTGTTTTTTTTTTAATGATGCATTGAACTCTTATTGCTATGGTTGCAGAATTTTCAATGTTAAATGCACCGGTACATGTACATGTATGTGCAAAGTCTATAAGAATATAGATTATGCATAAAATACATGTAGGAGTATTATGAGCAAGTTTATTTTACAATATTTTTTCATCCAAAGTTCATGCATAAGGCAATAAAAACTGTGCAACCAAGTGGTGAAAAAATATTGTTTAGGATGAGTCAACTGAAATTTTTGATCAAAAGGAAGTATCTTGATACGTAACACTGGGCTGCTCGGAAACAGTTGAGATAATTGCTGCCCCATCATTTCTATCTCAAGCTTCTTCTCAAATTATTCCAATGCAATTGCAGAAGTAGTAACACCTGTTTCCCCTCCATCTCTCACTCTGAATTTCCCGTTTGGTTAATGTGTTTGGGGAGCAACGACCTGTTCCAGTGCTCGCTGTCACTGTTCTGTCAATTTGTCAAATCATCCTTCCGTCTGATTTCAAATATTATTTAGCTTCAGCCCAGGGTTGAAGCTCAGAATAGGATCCTTAGGCAGAGTTCATACAACAGTTGTTTCAGCCCAGAATCACAGTTTTGAAATACCCTTTGTCTGCCCCCTGCAACATTTTGAACTCTTGTCTTTTTATGTACATGTACATGTATGTGTTGAGCTTTTATTGCATTCACTGAGAATGGCTTAGTATGGTTTTTCCTAATCTAGGTTTTAGATATTGCATGACATAATTTTCATTTCCACTGACTACAGTGTACATTTCCTCATACTGTTCAATATTCAACAATTTTATGTCAAAAACAAAAATATCAAATAACTAAAGAGGATGTTTGCAAAGAATAAAAAATGGAGGAATGGGTGAGTTCGATCAATAATAGTCATTAGGACATTAGAAAAATTATTTTCGTATTATAAATGCAGTTTGAAGAAGTCTCAACACACAGTAGGGGAAGGTGAAAAGAAACAAAACATTTATAAGCTGCAGAAGAATCTCAATGAGAGAGAAACTAGGAATCTATTTTAATTTTTTATATTTATAATAGATTATTCAATATTGCTTTTGACTTTGCAAAAACATAACAAATATGTATACTGTATACATACATAATATTAACAATAGAATGAACAAAATATATAACTGATTATACAGGACATGGTGGTACAGAAAGAAAATTGAAAGCAATAAAATGTATTTCTATTTTATTTATTGGTCGAAAATCATTAAAGAATCTATTTTAAAATCTATTTTAATTGGTCGAAATTCACTTTCAACAAGTCATGGACTGTAATGACTTTTTGCATTTTGAACTGGTTAATCTCTAAAGTCAAAACTTAATTAGTAAACTGAAAAAGACTTTAGGACATTGCCTATGAGTAATTAATGGAAAATTTTGATCATCAATGTTCTTGATGATCGCCAAACGTATTACCTACATGTACATGTATGCAAATGGGAAAAGACAGTATTTTTTATGTCGATTATTGATAGAAAAAAAATATTTTGATCAACAGTGTAAACACTGGTTGCCCTCCAAAAATATGATTCTAATTAGAAAAGATTATCCAATATTAACTTTTGTAGTGAGTAATAATTGAAATATTTTGATCAACTGACATCATTATAAGTACATTATTAACTACATGTACTGTAGATACATGTAAACAATAAACATTCCACAGTTGTGTCATAATAAAGGATTTGCAATTTGCAAATTAACATTCCACATATACAGTATGTACTGTACATGAATCATCAGATTACATTGTAATCTACATGTATGCATGTACAATGTATGCATGTGCTGTGGAAAATATGGAATCTCCTTTTGTGCTCTTCTTTAATTTTTAATGTTTCTGTTAAAGGGAAATCCAACCTTGATAGCAACTACTCTAGAAGAAAGCAGAAAAGAAAGCAGAAAATCAGTCATGGAGACTGGTGAAAGTTTGAATCATATTGGACAAAATATGAAAAACTTATGCATTTTAAAAAGTTGTAATCACTATACTGTATGTACAGTACATGTACAGGCACTTCAAATTGGCTGAATCAGTATTGTCTCTGTGATGTAGTGGCAGATGACTTTTCCATTTGTTCGAACACACAAAATGACTAAAATGTATAATAATATGCCATCCGTAATATATTTTGACGAGTGCCCCAAGGGAGAAAGCACTTTATAGGAGACAAACATAAATTATATATATTTTTGTAAACAACAAACGGGAGACTTGCCCTTGTCTGATGTCACAATCCATGGACCACATTGCCAATTTGAGATTCACACTGATTTAGTGATCAATATCTTTTACATGAGTGCAGTTTTACTTGTACATGTACATATGTCCACAATAATTCATTTATAAAATAAAAAACAAATCATAACATATATTTCTTTTATTGATTAAAAAAAGTAAGGCAAAAGTTACACTACATGTAATTGTATGTCCGTGGTTTACTACTGTACATCAATGCAGGAAGAAAATTGTTAGTTTATAAAATCTTGTTTCGATTCAGTGACGTTTATCTTTACTTTCAAGTCCTTGCTCATTTCAAAACAAACACCACTCTCACATCCCTCTTTAATTACTCATACCTGGATGATGAGAATCTCAAGTTTGGCTACAGTTATTTAAGCTACATGTACATGTACATTCACACGGGAGCGTCGTAGTTTTAAACTTTCAGTCTAAAAACCTTTTAGTTAAAGATGAAGTTGAGTTCTGGTCATGCGATTGCATTGTGAAAGAAACGGTGTGGAACCGACCAGAAAAGGTTGATCATCTAGCATATAAGAATTTGTGTGTATTGCAAGGTTCTGGAATCATCAAAATGATAAGAAATTTGGCCAAGTCTTGGTAAAGTTACAAACACTTGCACAGAAAGATGTATATGGGACTACACGAACACGTGGCGTAAAAAGCCGACCCCCCGATTTTTACGATGTTACATGCATATTTAGAATATGAAGGCATTTGAAGAGCCATGCTTTTCAGGGAACATGTCTTAACTGATGTTCTTCCACACTTGCATAATAAGAATGAGTAATGCTCACAAATTATTTTTCACCTCTTCCCAGAACTCAACCTTCTCTTTAAAGGTAATACAAAGTTTTGGGAAATTTGAAAATTGGGTGGATAGGGATTCTTTGGCCGTTCAATTGTAACTGCGACCATGAACATTTCAGAATATGTAGTTGTGATATATAATTTCCAAACGGCAATAGCTAATCGGTCGATTTTAGTCAAGAAACATTGCTATATAGCTTAATTAATTTATCTTGACCTTGAGAGTGAGCTAAACAACATAAAGAGTTTATTATTTACAATTTCATAACTTGAGACTCGATTTCAACAGCGACAACGATCACTGAATATTGTAGGATTGCATACATGCTTCCAATACATGTACCCTGTATGTTCATTTGAACCAAATTCATGACCCCATACCTGCATACCAAAGCTTTGTATTACCTTTAACAACGATCCACTATAAACGAGACAGGGGTTCACAATCACATGGGACCAAAACAACAAGTAATCAAAGTTTAAAACTACATTCTACAAGATGTATGAAATGAAAGGGAACAGGGCCATAGGGTTAAAGGAGGAGGTCAATACGGGTACATCAATTACATGTAAACAACTGATTTATTCATACCCCTTGTAAATTTGATGTTTTTTTTGTTTTTCAGAAGGCAAGAATGCAAGTTGGATTGGTTGAATTACAGCTTTTTTGTTTAATATGTCACATTCTCAATAAACATAAATTGGGTCAAATACATTGTACTTACCATTTACAAACTGTACTTAAAAAATTACAAAACTTGGTAAAGGTACATGTATGAATAGTTAAGTTAAGTGAACATTATTTAAAAAAAAAATTGTATCACCGATTTCCATTTAGCCTTTCCCATATCTCTTTCTCTCTTTTTTTGGGGGGGGGGGGGTGGGGGGAGGGGGAGGGTGTACATATTCCTGTACAACTGTACATGTATTCTCCTCTCGAAAGCTTCCCAACTGATTGTCAGCAACTCCCTTTCAATCCTCTTGACTTACCAAACTTTAGGAATGATAATCTAGAGAATATCGGGCAGGCCGAGAATTATACTAGTGTCATTGTGTGGCTATTGACATTCAGTATGAAGAGGAAATGGGTCAGTTGTTGTTTGTTTATGTATATTCCAAAACTGGACATCTTCCTTGTTATGATAGTGTTGAATTTTTGTTATTAAGTGATAAGATTTGTCACACTATATTTTTCATCCTGATTATTATAGATTACTTTAAAAAGTGTTATTTTCTTTCACACCTATAAAATTCTTAATCTATTTATTCATTTGTGTCGTAGTCGAGCGGTTTCATCATTTGACTGGAAATGCAAAGGCAAAAGCAAAGTCCTGGCATGACACTTATACTGTAGTTAATAATCGAATGTTTTTCCATGCACATATTAAACACATATTAAAGCAGAGCTGATTAAGGAAATTACATGTTTATTTTAAAATCCCCTAAATACAGGCATCAAATCGGTTTGTTAATTTTTCCAAAATGGAGCCACATTTATAATCGTGAATTATTTGATTTTTTTACATGTATATGCATTAGTGTTTACATACATGTACATGTACATGTACATTGTGTACACGTAGTGTGATGGGTTCCTCGATGGTAACTGTGTGTACATTTCTTTGCTACAAAATGTATATCAAAGGTACTTTGACATTTATGGAGTACTTTCAAGATCTTAAAGAGAAAGTTGAGTTCTGGGAAGCGGTGAAACATAATTTGTGAGCGTTATCATTTTAATATGCAAGTGTGGAAGAACATCAGATAAAAAAATTATCCCTGAAAAGCATGGCTCTTCAAATGCCTGTGTACAGTGCTTGTAACATTACTAAGACTTGGCCAAATTTCTGATGATTCCAGAACCTTGCAGTACACACTACATGTATGCTAGATGATAAACCTTTTCTGATCGATTCTATACACCGTTTCTTTGACAATGCATTCGCAACTCAACTTTATCTTTATGTGTATGTTGAAGTGCTTCCTGGGGTATAACATTATGAGTGTTTCATTTTCAAGGAATCTAGAGGCAATAACAGGAGAGTAACGGTAATGGTGGATAAAAATGTATTGAATAAATCAGAGTGGGGTTTTCCCCTCTTGTTTACCCGGTCTATTGTGCAAACATATTCAAGAGACATAAAAGATGCAATGACGCACACGCTGTAATTAATGATACCAAGGCTGATAACTGCCTCCGTCTACGGCTGATTAGATGGAATACAATATTTGACTTTCGTTATTATAAGAATCAAAGATTTCATTCACGTATTTCCTTGTACAACAAATATGTGATATTGTTTGAATATTATGGCAGCCATGTACATTTAGAGCTACTTATATTTGATACAATAGGCGGTGTCACACAGAAAAATCCCTTAAAAAATCCCTTGAAAAATCCTTTCAAGGGAGAATTTTCTTGCTTCGTTAGAGGATTTTTGAAGGGATAATATTAATGACAGACAACAATTAAGAGGAAAACTACACCTGCAACCTACAGTATATCAAATTGATAGGTCTACAGACTTTTAAGAAGAGCATGCAATTAATACCTTTCTTCTACTTCCTTCTCATGATAACTCTTTTCTCTCTTCTTTCTTTTTATTTCTCATGACACCACATTTTTTAGCAGAAGGGAGCACAAATGCTACTGAATTTTGTGGAGTTCAGAAAATCATTTGATACAAAATTTGGTTTTCAAATCTGTGGCATACATGTATACTGTACATGCTGAGTATCGTCGTAGAAGTAGAAGTAGTAGAAGTAGTTCCGCATACCGGTATACCAGTAACATACCGGCATACCAGTAACAAAGGTGCAATATACATGTACTGTACATGCATGCAGTATTTCATGAAACATTTTTATTACAGATAGTTTTAATTAGAATATTAGATATTTATTTTCATAAAGCTGCCCTTGACTTTGGTCTTATAATTGTATCATTGACTTTCACCTCTGTCATTTTCTTTTTCATTCCTCAGATTACATCCAATTTGCTCTTGAAACCGTCTACAATGAAACGTCCTACTATGAGGATAATTGGCAGACAGAGATGTGGAAGGTGAGAAATAATTTTTTTAAATTTTGAGATACCAATAGGCCTGTTTCTATCAGACCGAAGTTGCGAAATAACCCGCCATTTTCAGAATCGGGATATTTTCCTGAAGCTTGAAATTGCGTTTTCACCAGACCGATACACTCATCACAAACTAGATGAAGACGGGCGCAAATTACATGTAGCCTGCTCTTTCCCAAATAGCAAGTTATTTTGGAAACAAGACCAAGATTTCTTTGCCATCAGCACATAATAATATTTAAATTTCCATTTTAACACGGTTACATTGATCACTTGCTTAAAAAATGTCATGATATATTTCTCTATATACATGTATATATATATTGTAAAAAAGCGATGATCATATTACAGAGGGCTAAGTAATTTCCCCTGTGGATTCACAGAATATTGCTTTCCAGTATATTTTTGAAAGTTGTCTCATTTTCTTGTATTTTCATGTTCTCAATTTTCTTTGGTGCCTCAAGCATGGAGTTGACATTATAAATACTCTATGTTACTACATGAAATTGAAATATACATGTATCACTTTAACCTTTTGAATAGTCTTAAATATGAAACACTTTTTGGAAGAACTTGAAAGGATAAAAGAATTAAAGGGAGTTACCGATTCATTAGGAGCTTTAAATTTTATCCATATATTTTTTTTCCCCACCAGATCATGGGTCTTTTCGTGGGCATCATCGTTTGTGTCTTGTTTGGCATTCTCTACTTCATAATCCTCCCCTTCGTCGGGTTCATATTCAGCTGTTGTCGATGCTGTGATCGATGCGGAGGAAAGAGGGTGCAACGAGAGAGCAAACACATGGGATGCAGTAGGGTCACTCTCACCCTCTTCTTCTTCTGCTTCACCGGCATCATCTGGTAAATATTGCCTTAAAAATGTTTTTTCCTTTTTTTTCCCCGATGAGCATTGTTTTATTCTTAATCATTGGCATAAAAATATGCTTTCAATTATAAAAAACACCTTTTCAATGATATTTGCCTTCAATCTAAAGAAGTGTTATTAAATTTAATCCTTAATAAGGCAGTCCAATTGAACAATATGTGTGCAGATTTCAGGTTGATATTAACTTAAGCTTTTAAATAGATATTGAAAAAAAAAAGAAATAGAAAATTAGCACAATAGTGGAAAAGTTGTGACAGAGTCAAAATACTGTACGTGTTCGAGAAGTAGGTGGAAACAAAGAATGGCGTAGGTAAAGATGTGTGTACAGGTGTATGCGTACAACCACGTGTGTGTGTATAAACATAGGATAATGTAAATTACTGAAATACATACATTTAAATAGAAATCATCTGAAAATGCAATTAAATTTGTATCACTGAGCAGTGCTCTGGTTCGTACAATGTGTGTTATCCATGCGAACAGCTGATGATTTTCTTTCATACCGGTAATTACAAAAATTAAAAGAAGCATAAATTAAGCAATGTGATTGCCCCCCCCCCCCAAACAAAAAATCTTTGTGTGAGAACCCCCTTGCTTTTTAGCAGTTATTGCAGAACCTCAAAGATTGCTGGTGGTTTAAAACCTGAAGCTTCTGAAACCATGAGTGCAATTCAACAATATTATGAAGTTCTGTACATGTAGTTACATTGTTTAAAGTGGCCTAAGGTTTGCAGAAAATTTGCATTCAGTTCTCTGAAAATAGATTCTTTCATAAAGTATATTGTATTTTAAAATAAGAGAAACTTTAAAATTCAATCATCATTTTCAAGAGAAAATTTATCTGTCTTGTAAGAATCCTGTTGTTAAGTCATTGATATTGTCATAAATACATATCATATCATACTTATCAGGCAATCTATACCATTGACATTAATTGTTGAAGCCAGAAGAGCTTTAACTCATCATCCTTTAAAAACTCAGAGTTAACGCCATTCTGGCTCTAGAAAGTCAGTATAATGTTGCTACTCGCCATCCTCCAGTTGTCAACACATTCATGTATACACAAACGTACAATGGTACCTTTAATAAGTCTATATGGTTGTTGAGTCTAGCTGGCACCGATTGCGTGAGTAATTGGTATCAGTGGATACCAGTATACCACTCAGTTTGGGCGTTGCCAGTTTTCCTGGTCTACAATTACCATGATTCAAGGTATTTACCGTTTGTTCGGCAGGCATCCAATTACAGGATGTTATTTTGTTATCCTTTGCAATCCCATACAGTGTACCTTGTGTCATCAAATGATAAAACAATGTATGTATGCACTAGGAAATACACAAATCTTATATTATACATGTATGTAGGTAATTTACATACAATAAGAAAAGGCAGCTCTAGTCTAATTCCATGCTGTGAGATAATTGTTTCTTTTTGGTATTCTTTTGTGCGACATTTCAGAATGTGAAATACAAGAATTATTTCTAAACCACAGGCATAGAAGAGTAATGCATCCATTTCCGTGTCCATGAAGTATACAAATATTTGGATTGCTTGAAAAGCCAGTGGTATTTTTAGTTGAAATATTAGAAGATGATTTGGAAGAGAGAATAAATATTATCATGGCATGACGAACAGGCTATCAGGTTTATCTAAGGTGCATCAGGTACTGACAGAGCTTTAGATCAGGTAGCAACGTAGACCTCCACATCATGAAACAGAACTGTTGTTTTGATTTTCCATCACAAACATGCATTACACTTTGGTCTAAAATCAAAGCATACTTTCACTGTTAACTTCAAGGGATAATCCTCAAACTACATGTACATGTACCGTATGCAGGTTTTCTGCAACTCCTGAAATAATCTCCTTTGAAACATGTATACAACTGTACATGTATGCTTGTAGCTCTATGTCCTTTGCTTTGGGCATTTCTTTGTTGAAGGAATGAAAGATTTCCATCAGAAATTTAAAACAAAAAAATAGTAGGTTGGTTGGCCAGGTGAAAAATTCACATGTATACCCTCACTTGGACATAAATGTAGTATATAATTTTGTTTTTATCTGGGTATTTTGTTCTGTTTGTTATTAGTCTGGTGTTGGCGTTGTTCTTCTGACATGGGGGTTAACCTGTATGCGAACATGTACATGTACTCTGCTCTGAGTAATAGGGAATAGGATAAGTGAAAGCAAATCAGGCATGGAGAAATGCATGTTCCATTGTCTGTCACTTAGCAAATGAAATGAGATTGATTCGTAATCATCTACTTTGACGCGACGAAGCAATTAAAGTTCATTATTCAAACAAAAAAGTCAATTATTTCACCATACATGTACATGTGCTGCATGCTTGAGTTGTAATAAAGTGGCCTCATGATCTGGCTGTAGGACCAGTATTATTGCAACTTGTGCCGGGGGGGGGGGGGGGGGGGGGGGGGGGGAGGGGAGGAGGAGGAGGAGGGGGCAAGGGGGTTAATATTTATAAGGTTTCAGGAATCTTTCAGAAGAAGAAATCTCAAGTGGACTCGGTAGGCAAGGAACAATATGAATCTGAATACATAATTGGCTATTTAAAGCAGTAAGCACCACTGTAGAATACACCAATTTGTCATTGGAAAGTACTTAAAAAAAATAACTTTAAGAGGGCCTTTTGGTCCTGAAAAGCGCCATATAAGAACTAGCTATTATTATTATTATTATTATTATTATTAATACAAATAATAATTAAAGCATTTGATAATTGTTGGGAATTCGAAATGAAAAAAAGTCATAATTTAACGTGAGTCCATTTCTAAAAATGATGATCAAAATTTAAGTTGCGCCTTGCTTGCTTCTGTGAATTGTGACAAATCACAAATGCCAGATGGCTGAGGTTCTTGGATAATTTCTGTTTCAAGATAAGTACATGTACATGTACATGTACAGTGTACATGTACAGTATAGAGTTGACAAGTATATTAGTGTGTTGTGGTTAGCTCTGAAACAAATTTGCCACATTGTGATCGCAACAAGTTACATCCATAGTAAACTGTAGACTTGAACTGTGTACATTATTGTAAAAAAGAATCTATGATGATTTTGAATGGCCGAGTCTTTATTTACTCTTCGATATTTATACAGCTGTCCTTCCTTTGTCTATCAAAACAAAATGATATGCTCTGGCAGCTTATCAGCCGCTTCATTTGTTAAAAAAAAAAAAAAAATATGTGGGGATAAGATGATTGAAATTACATTTCTCACTTCATTTTGGAATTCATCTTTAGGAATGAAATGCATTGCCCAAAATTAATCAATTTGATATCCAGTCTCTCAGTTCTGTTTGGGCGCATAGATGATAGTGACAAGATATTGCATCAATATTTATGTTTTTAGAATCAATTTGTGACACACACATGGTGTATTTTTTAAAAAGGAATCTGCAGTTTAGAAGGATCAAATATCACAAAAGCAGATTCCTTTCAAGTTAGACTTGTACATGTATACAGGGTATGCATTATCAATTTTTCATTATGTACACTATGTTACTCTTTACATTACATTTTAATAAGAAAAAGGAGCAGCCAAATAATTTCCATATTAATAGATTTTGATGCTTATAGGCATTACACATATCAGAGGGGGGGGGGGGGGGGGGGTTGCTTGTGAACAAAATCTCATCAATGTGCACATTACGTAGGCCTCGAGTTGGCCAAATAGCCTGCTACAGTATTCCTGATTCTGGGAAATAAGCCCAAAGTTACAAATTGCGTCTTCATCAGCTCAAAACTTAGCTCAAATAGAGTGCTATTTTTGCAAACTAGCCCAAGAAATCTTACCGAGCAAAATTTATAGCCCACTATTTTGTGATGGGGTTAATTTCCCGAATCAGAAATAGCAGGCTATCTGGCCAACTCGAGCTGATGGTGACAGGCCTAATTTGGAGTTTTTCCACACTACTTGGCAATGTTTCATTTTTTGATTAACAAATGTAGCTCACAACAAAATTTGGTAAAAGTTCATTTGACGAGACGAGACTAAAATTCAGGGCTGTAGTATGTCAGCGAGTACGACAATCATGTAATGATGTAGAAAGATATTGGTTGATCTTGTTTTGGAACTACATGTTGTACTTGGGATTAGATTAGTGAAATGAGATGAAAGCTAGAAATCCTTTTGGGGGATCAAAGCTTCCTTGGAGATCTCTTGAGGAAGGAGGAGCGGCGGTAATCCTTGATTGTAATTAGTCGTGATTCAACGACCTTTCGCCTTGTTTCCCATCGGTCCCTGATCCTACGAATTACGGCAGAGGAAGAGGATCTTGTAGCGGCAGGAAGGAGGGAGGAGAGAGTCGTGTCAACGCCGATTCATTGGGACAGTGAACGCCGGTGGGCCGAAGGGTAAAGTTGTAGATCCGCCAGATAACCTTTTGGGAAATCTGATTCGGTTTATCGTCAACTGTCGAAACCAAGCTCTTCAGTTTGGGCATCTCAACTTGTGAGCGTGTATAGGCCATATACTTCTGCTTGAATTAAACTTACAAACGTGAAAAAGAGCCAGAAAATAAATACCTCTAACTCTAATATGGGGAAAGAGTAGTACATATACATGTACGTGTACTTTGTTTCTGCTCTTTTTGGAAATTTTACAGTTTTCCAACATGAGATTGGTATACAAGAGAAGTATTTGCACATAGTCTAGCTGGTTTGTTTGTTAATACTCATAATTATTTTTGAATTGCTTCAGAGTTCAGACATGGTGCAGACAGGCTGTGTATGAAGTACATTGTACATGAACTTATCAATCTTAAAAAATTATACCGGTAATTAAAAATCATAAAAAAGTAAACAAACTGAGTGCAGCAGGAAGTTCAATGTACAATGTACTGTATGAACTCATGTATTATTTTATAGAATCACTTTAAAATTGTACCTTGTACTCTCTGAGGCAGTTTTACATCTACAGTTAACAAATACTTCATTCATACCCTTACTAAGTTTTG